ATATATATATATATATATATATATATATATATATTAAACTTCACACAATTATAACCAATGTATTGTTGTGGTGCGGTTGTAATATTAACCTTAGCTATCCTAATGAACATGCCTTAAACCCTAGCAAAATTTATGCACCAATACTAATAAAATTGATAAATGATAATTATAGAGTTATTATTAGTATTATTATGACAATTGAAGAGTTTAAGAAGTGAGAGAAATAACATTTATTTCTCAAATTCTCTTTTCATTATCTAACAACAAGAAATACATATTTTCACAATCTTTAATAGGGACAAAAGGTAAAAAAAATAAAACTAATGCTTTAAAGTGCCTCATAAAAAGAATTGTAATTTCCTTCTAATTTTTTTTTATATAATACTGAACAAAAGGAGTATACTTTATAGTTATTATTGATTGGTTTAATTGGGGAATTAGACGGTTCAACCTACTTCGTGTTGGTTCGAAAGCATACCCAATCCAATTGCGTGCCTAACATTGGTTTTATTAATAACATGATGCATTTAATTTATTATGTGTATATTGAAACATGATAATGTTCATAAAATAATTTATACTATTTTTAAATATCCTTAATAAAGCATTATTGTTAATATAGACAACAATAATACACTAAGACTAATGACTATCATAAATATGAAATATTGAGTCTTCACATAAGTACATGCAATGATGTAGTATCGTCTTAAAAGACTTATCCACAAACTCGCTAGCTAGCCCTCCTCCACGATATAATAGGGATGTCAAACGGCTTAGACTAAATGATGCAAAATTAGCAAGTCACACAAAAACCACAATAGAATAAATAGAGATGGCGATGAGAGAAAGTAGAAGAGAGAGTAATGCTTAGTGTATCAAACTCCTCTAAGTATTCATATTTATAAAAGAAAAGGACTAACGATTGTGGCAACTTGTCAAACTTGGAAATTAAAATCATTTAATTTAAAATGTTGAAAAAAATAGTGTAATTTAAACTATGGTAACTAGATAATAAAATATGAAACTAACCTCTGATAATTAATAAATCAATGATTTTAAGATAGATTTTGAATTCAAAATAATTAATTAAAATATAAAGTAAAAATATGCAAGAATTCCATTATCACATGCACAAGGGAAATTGTTTGACACATTTGCATGTAATAAGCCTACATGCATGTAATCATTTTATATGTTTATATCAAAAGTTAATATATAAATTGATAATCAAAAGCAAAATTAGGCGATATAAGACTTTTTGTTTATTGAAATATACTATAAAATATAAGAACACATATAGTATATTTAAGTATGATTAAAATGTTTTTTTTATAGATTAGACTCATACTATATAATACCTAATTAAAAGATAGGTCAAAATTATAAGAATGGGGATAAAATGTCTCACCAGCCAAGCTCTTAATAACTTAAAAATCCCAAAAGTTATAGGTTACAGTGATATCATTTTCTTATAAATATGAAATGCTCAAGGAATTATGAATGTTTACAATTCTGAAACCAATATACTTATTGTGCATGAAAAATCCTAACAATTATTTTTTATAGTGTACAACTAGCAGTGTCGTCTTCTTTCTTGATCGTGGATTGACGAGGAAGCTGCTCGTTTGGATTAATATGAGTGTGTTAAAAAAGTATAAAAATTTATTTATATCATGTACACAAGCTCTATAAAGATCGCTCATTCTACAAAAGGTAATTTTTATATCACGATGTTATGCCTTTTCGTTTGGATCTAATGGAGAGAATGTTTCCACTGTGCTTATTTATCTAGCCTACGATTTTCAACAAATATAACAATTAAAAGTATAGAAAATAGAATAATTGAGATAATACGAATAAATTGTATTGGTTAAGATGAAAGGAAAGAAAAATGAAGAGAAAAATTACAAAGACACATACAAATAATCTTTGTCAACAACTATCTTTTATATAATATATTGATATTAATTTATTAATATTATTAAACCTATATTATGTAAAATTACACTAGGAGGTGGTGGAGATTGAAAATAGACATATTATATATATATATATATATATATATATATATATATATATAAGAGTAAATATTTATAGATTTATTCCATTAAATAATTCATGTTTTACATCAAATTTTAATGATCCAACCATCAAATTTAAAATTATTAATCCCTAGATTAAGTGTGCAAATTTTTACAAAATTTAAAAATCATTTGATACTTTGTTTTATTAATTTAAATTGATAAATAATTATAAAAAATATTTTATACGTTGATTTGAATTAATGAAATGAAGTATTAAATGGTTTTCAAAATTTATAAAAAAAATTATTCTTGATCTATGTATTAAAAAATTTTAATTTAACAATTAGATCATTAAAATTTGATATAAAAAATGAGTTATTCAATGGAGTAAGTCTACTACTTAACTCAATAAATCATAATATACATTAAATTTTGAATGATCTAATTGTTGAATTGAGAGTTTTTAATAAATAGATCAAATTATTTAATATGTTTATTAAGGTTTGATCTCTCTTAACTTGATTTTGTGGGTTTAAAGTAATTAATTGGAAAATGCTTTTGAACCTTTAACTTGATTTTGTGGGTTTAAAGTAATTAATTGGAAAATGCTTTTGAACCTTTAAACTAAAGTAGACAAGTTAATGGTGTTTACCTCTAAGAATGAAGTAAATGCTATTAGTCATTTATAAGCTCTTCTTGTTAAAGTTGGTTTCTTGGTTAAGTTATGCAATAAATTGATAACTTAGTTAAAAAACTTAGACTCTAATTTGTAAGGAATTAAGGTTTGAGTGTATTTGTGAGTTAGATGATAATTTGTGAATTCATAACTGGATTAAAGTTTGTTTGTGAGAATGAGAAGATGATTTGGTAAAGTTAAACCAAAACATGTTTTATTATTGTGTTAAAATCAATTTTTACATTCTAAATGTTCGTAAAAATACCAAAAAGATTTATTCTAACATTTATCTTTGTTTAAGCATTTTCTTTATTTTTGTAATCAATTAAATATTTATTCCCGATAGTTTTGTTTAATATAATTTATGTCAATTATTGTGTAAGTCCTTTAGAAGACGATACTCATATTTATTATTAAACTACTTATATGAATTGATATATTTATTAAAGAGATAATAAGTTTATAGCATTATTGTTGGAAACTTGCACCTCAAAACTTTGACAAATTCACTTTGATTGCTAATCTAGACTCCAATTCTTTTATTTATAGGAATAAAAATTTAATATTTAAATAATAATTATTTGATCTTTATAATTTCATAAACCTAACCTTTTAATCCTTATAATTAAAAATATTTTATTTAAATTTTTTTACATACTATTTTTACGTTGATTCTTATAATTTTTAATTATATATATATATATATATATAAAACTAAAAAATAAAGTTATCCACTTTCATATATCAAACAAAGACAATTATACTACACAAGAATATTCTTAAAAAATTCTCATTAACGATATTTTAAAGACTTTTCTTAAACGAATGATTTTTAGAAATTAATTTAATTTTTTATCAATTTTAAATTTTTTTATCATATTTATTTATAAATTAAATTTTAATTTATTTAAGATAAATTTTCAATAATTATAAATAATCCTATATCACAATATAAATTATTTATCGTGAATATAAAATATAATTTATATATTTAAAAATATTTATTTATATAAATTTAAATTTATATATTTAAATATAATATTTATTCATATTTATAATTTATTATAAAATTTAATTTTATGTAATAGACATTTAAGTTATGCACATTACACATACCAAATACTAGTAAAATAAAAAAAAATTAAACGAATAATATTTAGGACAAAACTTAACTAAAGTATTATAAAGGCTGATGCTGTCTTTCATGAAAATTACAGACCCACTTCGAAAAAATTCATTTATATTTAATGGAGTGTTTAATTTTTTAAAATTTAAATATGTTGTGGAAATAAAATTTTGAATTCTGATTTAAAGAGAAAAAAAATGCAATGTAATTTTTTTTTTTCTGTCTTTATTGGACCTAACTGCCATTATTTTTGTGCAGTGATGATGTTTCTGAGAAAGAAAACATGAATGCATGTAATGTAACATCACCTTCTATCTCCCTTCACTTCACCGTTTACTCAACCAGTAGTAGTAAACATAATTAGATTTTTTTGGAGACCCGCAACGGAAGCGAAGCAGCGCCACAAATTCTCGCACGTATCAATCAGCGAGAGGAACCAGAGGGGGTCCACAAACAGAGTCCACGTCAGCAGCAGCAGATAAACATAGCGATAAGTCCCAGCCTCTTGTCCACCGTCAGATGGATACTCTCCCGAATCCAACGGTTCCAAACCCTCCCTCACGGATTATCCACTATCACCATTCACCAGTTTCCTCGTCAAATACGTTGGATCACCAACTCAACAAACTCAAACGCATACTCTCTCTCTCTCTGTCTCTGTGACACACTTCTCACCAATGGCAACCGCGACAGCAGCCACGTCGTCCTTCATGGGGGCGCGCCTGGTGGAGGCGCAATCGGGGTCGGGTCGGGTGCAGGCGAGGTTCGGGTTCGGGTCGAAGAAGAAGGCGGCGGCGAAGAAGGTGTCGAAGGGGTCGGATCGGCCGCTGTGGTACCCGGGGGCGAAGGCGCCGGAGTGGCTGGACGGGAGCCTTGTGGGAGACTACGGGTTCGATCCGTTCGGGCTGGGGAAGCCGGCGGAGTACTTGCAGTTCGAGCTGGACTCGCTGGACCAGAACCTGGCGAAGAACGAGGCGGGGGTTATCATCGGAACGAGGACGGAGGTGGCCGACGTGAAGTCGACGCCGTTTCAGCCCTACAGCGAGGTCTTCGGCTTGCAGAGGTTTAGGGAGTGCGAGCTCATTCATGGACGCTGGGCCATGCTTGCTACTCTTGGGGCTCTCACTGTTGAGTGGCTCACCGGTGTCACATGGCAGGACGCCGGCAAGGTACACTTTCTCTATTTCTAAGATCTATTTCACTTTTTTTTTTTTTATATATAAAAAATAAATTTAATAATTCAACAAGTCAATTTAAATTTATTTTATTTAATAATTCATGTTTTATATTAAATTTTAAGTGATAATTAAATTTATAATTCTTAACAAGTCTTTAAAATTAAAAAAAATATTTCAAAATTTCTAATTATTTTAAAATAAAATAAAGAATAAAATAATTTAATTTTTTTTTAAATTTTGTATACTTGAACTATACACGATAAACTTTAAATTTATCTATTAAATTGTTAAAATTTAATATAAAATATAAATTATTTCACATGTAACAAAAAAATTACTTTATTATTAATTATATTTTAATTTTTGTCATTCTTTTTACTACCCTAGGAATGTGATCTGCCTAACTAGTAACATGAATGAGATTACTTGGGTTCAATTAATAAGAAACAGTTTCTCCAGGAATGTGATCTGCCTAACTAGTAACATGAATGAGATTACTTGGTTTCAATTAATAAGAAACAGTTTCTCCAACGTAAAATGTTAGAAAGTTCGTGGATGGTAACTTTTAGTGATCAAGTAATATTATGATCAAGTAATTGACTTTTGTTATAGTTATTTTGTGCTTTTTTCATTACTTGGAATAATCGTGAAAGGCTAACACGAGAGGACTATAAGATTTTTGAGAGTTGGGTATGAAGAAATAGCGTTTTGTTTAATTATTTTGATATATTATAATATGATGATGGGGTTGTTAATTAATTATGAAGTTGCGTTTTGATTTGAAGGTGGAGCTAGTGGAAGGGTCATCATACCTTGGGCAACCACTTCCATTCTCAATCACCACATTGATTTGGATCGAGGTTCTGGTAATTGGCTACATTGAGTTCCAGAGGAACGCAGAGCTTGACCCAGAAAAGAGGCTCTACCCAGGTGGAAGCTACTTTGACCCATTGGGCTTGGCCTCAGACCCAGAGAAGAAAGCCACCCTGCAATTGGCAGAGATCAAGCACGCACGTCTTGCCATGGTGGGCTTCCTGGGCTTCGCAGTCCAAGCTGCTGCCACCGGCAAGGGCCCACTCAACAACTGGGCCACCCATTTGAGTGACCCACTCCACACAACCATCATTGACACCTTCTCATCCTCCTCTTAGACTTGTGTACCACGTAATTAATATATTGTGCCTTGTGGCTTTGGCTTGTAAACATTTTCACTTAGCTGGATAATTAGTGCTTGTGAAACTAAACTAGTAACGTGAATTGGAGAGGCTGAGTAAGCAGAATGCTCCTGCTTGATGTTCAAGTGTGCTCCCATGATTGTTAATTAAGCACGAAATCGAGAGGATAAAAAATTAATACTCGTAAAATATTGAGTCCACTGTGAAAGGTAATGGCAGCAAATTGGGTTGAGGTCTTTCAAGAATTTAATTTATTCATTAAGTTTGGTTCTACTACTACATAAACGCTGATTAACTATAGTATGTGACCAATGGTTTTAATAACCAAATTCAAAAAGTTTCTTGCATCTAATGCTGCATTTTGATTAGCTTAACGTTATCAACAGCTTAGTATATAAAATTATACCGGTGACACATAAGGCTTGAGAGTGTATTGGAGCTAGGGATGTTGATTTACAATAAGTTACTCATATTTTATTATAATATAATGAGCTCTTACTTTGCCTTTCAAATTCAATTATTTTAAAACCTGTTTTAGCTGCTTAAGCTTAGATTATTTTTTGTCTTTTTTTAAAATTTTTTTTATGATATTAACTTTTGTAATTGATCCCATTAATCTCTTAATTTGTCACAATTGATTTCATTTAATTTAGTTTTCATCATTATTTAAACTTCTATATTAAAATTCAAATCTTGAGATCAAATTATTAAAATGAATAAAATAACTTTACAAGTAAATTTAATCTGCAACCCCATGTTTTTCATATCATAAAGTGAATTATTAAGTTTTATTGTTGTTTTTACCAGTTGTGGGATAAGGATTACTGAAGAAATAACCTTATGTTTAAATTATAAAGTCATAATAATTTAATTGTGAGCAAAGTTGGCCTGGAAAATATTGAAGAATAAATAAGTAATTTTGCAAAGGAACCTCATAAGTTTAAGGTCTCAAAATCTAGAGTGATAAACAAAAAGAGAAGGGTTTTGATACCTCTGGAATTCCTTTTCGACTTCTAATTGTCCCTTAGACCGTTTTTATGAACATATTAATTTTTTGAATTAATATAATGAAATATTAATAATTTTTAAATATTGTAAAAATTTATAAACTTAAGATCTATTCATTAAAAAAAACTATAATTTAATTTTTAAATAATTGAAATTGAATGTAAACTTTAATGAGAATAGGTACAAATATGAGATGGGTAAGTATATATTCATTCCCGTCCCCTTACTCACTTTAATAAATCGAGTATTATCTTTACTTATATCTATACATGGTCATATTGAGTTTTTCCGTCAAAGACAGGACGAGTTTGAGAATTATCCATGTGTACGAATATGTTTGTCATTTGTAGGTCACCCCCTCCCCCACATGTATAATCAAAATTCGTTGACACCATTATGTCAAGTTAATGAAATGACACCTTCAATAATTTTTATATAATACAAATTCAAGTGTTTCAACCGATGTATATAATATTACCAATTAGATCAAATAAACAAAATTGCATACAATTTTAAATTCTTTTAATAACTCATCTTATTACTTTATTTTAACGTATAAAATGATATTTAAAATACATGTAAAAATATTTATTGTTAGATAACATATCTAAAAGAGTCCAAATCGTTACAAATTTGATATACTCATATATATATATATATATATATATATATATATAATATTTTAATTTAATTA